TATATATATATATATATATATATATATATATAAAATATAAATATATATATATAAAATAACCTTGTTAACCGAACGCCCTCTGTGGCCCAATCAATTAAGGCACGTCATGCTATATGACGGTTCCATATCGGGTACAGGTTCGATTCCTGTCGGAGGACGCATATTTTCTATGGAAATTTCTCGGACTTTCAGGTTTATACTGTTTTTTATAAACAGAGTATGTCTTAAAATATAGTTATATATAAAGTTAAAAGCAGTATCATCAATTTGTTTTTCGCCAAACATAAATAGTATTTACTGAAAATCTGCTCTGAATCGTAGAATAAAAAAATGCAATAAAACTATGACATTATGTAATTAGCAAAGCTTTTAATTCGTTTTATAGATAAGGTAAATTAAGAACACAATTGTCTTAAGAAAAATAATTCGACGCATAATTAATTTTTACAAGAAAAAATTAAGTTTTAAATCATTTAAAATTCTGTATCAATTACAGCCTATTAAATTGATATCTGACTGTCATCCTGGTAAAAAAAGTCATCAACTGCAGATACGACGTAATTTTCACTGCGATACAATTTCCTGGACATGTTGGGGAACTGATGATAGTCAAATCAGGCGAATAAAAAGGGGGATCAACCAGTTCAGAGCCAGTCACACAAAGTGGCCATTGAAACCAGGGACTTTCAACAGCCGTACTTCAATTCTGTTTTTCTCTCATATGATTTTCGTTGAATCCTAGTTTACTCAGGTGGCAAAGATATACACATTATAGTGTTTCAGGCATTTAATCCTTTAGTGTCGAAAATTAGTATGAATTAAAAAGTTATAAATCGTATTTGAACACGTGTAAGCATACATTTTATTCTCGTCTTTTCTATGTATATTACCAATAAAATAGAATTTAACAAAATTAATGCTTGTCTTGTATAAAAAGATATTCCACATGTGGAACAATATATCAAAGCTATATAAGAGAAAGCTGATAGCTTATTTTGTTGACTATGAAGGAGTGATGCTAGAGCTGTGAAATCTTGCATGCATTAATTTCAACTCTTCTTATTAATAACGGCATTGTTTATTTCCAGGTACGAGGGTGGGCTGAAAGGTTCATAGGCTGACTATGAAGGAATGATACGAGAGCTTTGAAACCTGGCATGTAATAATTTCAACTCTTCTTATTAATAACTGTATTGTTTCTTTCCGGGTACAAGGGTTGGCTGAAAAGTTCATAGGCTGACTATGGAGGAATGATACGAGAGCTTTGAAACCTGGCATGTAATAATTTCAACTCTTCTGATAAATAACTGCATTGTTTCTTTCCAGGTACGAGCGTGGGCTGTAAAATTCATAGGCTGACTATGTAAGAATGATGCTATAGCTGTGAAATGTTGCATGTATTAATTTCAAATCTTCTTCTTAATAACTACATTGTTTCTTTCCAGGTACGAGCGTCAGGTGAAAAGTTCATCGGCTGACTATAAAAGAATGATGTTAGAGCTTTGATATCTGGCATGTATTAATTTCAACTCTTCTTATTAATAAATACATTGTTTCTTTCCAGGTACGAGCGTGGGCTGAAAAGTTCATAGGCTGACTATGAAGGAATGATGCTAGATCTATGAAATCTTGCATGTATTAATTTCTACTCTTCTTATTAATAACGATATTGCTTCTTTCCATGTACGAATGTGAGCTGAATGTTTCATAGCTGACGACGAAGGAATGATGGCAAAGCTTTGATATCTGGCATGTAATAATTTCAAATCTTCTTAATTAATGCAGTTATTAATAAGAAGAGTTGAAATTAATACATGCAATGTTTCACAGCTCTAGCATCACTCATTTATAGTCAGGTTATGAACTTTTCAACTATTCTCGTACCTGGAAAGAAACGATGCAGTTTTTAATAATGGACGGTTGTAATTAATACATGCAATACTTTACGGCTGTACCATCACACCATCATGTTCAGCCTACGAACTTTTCAGCCCACCCCCATACTTGGAAAGAAACAATTATATTATTAATAATGAAGAGTTGAAATTGATGCATGCATGGTTTCACAGCTCTAGCATCACTCCTTTATAACCAGACCATGAAGGTTTCAGCCCACCCTCGTAAGTTCAATTTCATTAAAAATACAACATTTAAATAACGGCATGAAACGTGAAAGACGTTTTTGTTGTTTACATTGATAATCTTTAATAAAATGCAGCTTTTTGTATGGCTCTCCAGGCTTAGAATAATAATTTTTGAGTTTTCTTCGGAAACGATTATAGAAACGGAGATTTGAACTTTCTTAACAAAAAGATTTAAAAAGAAAATACAATTTACTAGTTGATAGGAAAATTAAAATGCGTCTAATTTACAATAGTATTTAACAAGTGAAACCCATTCTTCGCGTGGAGAAAAGTAGAGTTCACTCATGTATATTGTCACAACTGTAATCAGTCCGATGCTCAATCGATACTCGACAGCCATGGCCTTGTGCCAACTTAGCAAATATTGCGGTACGGAGTTCAATTATCACATTTGTGATCCAGTATTGTGGCCTTGTGCCACATTACGTAACCCGCAGGAGAGCAGTGGAAAACAGAAATGGTCAATATTGGTTGATGTTATACTTGAGCCAATAGATAAATGTTGGTCATTTATTCATATTAAAGCCTATAGATAAATGTTTGTCCTTTATTTATACTTGAGTCAATAGATAAATGTTGGTCATTTATTCATACTTAAGCTTATAGATAAATGTTGGACATTTATTTATACTTGAGCCAATAGGTAATTTCTTGTCATTTATTTATACTTAGCCTATAGACAAATGTTGGTTATTTATTTATACTTGAGCCAATAGATACTTATACTTGGTCATTTATACTTGAGCCAATAGATATTTATACTTGGACATTTACTTATACTTGAGCCTATACGCAAATACTGTTGTTTATTGTACTATGTTAGATTTATAGTGGATTCTCCCGTACGCAACAATGACTCGTAATCCTGATGCGAGTAGTTCATCGTAAAAAATAAAAGAGAATACTGTTCCATTTATCTTTCCCAAGACGTCATAGCCATTCACATCATAACTCTCCACAGATTCCTTTTCTTTATTATCTGTGAATGGCTATATCTTCTTCGGAAATGGTGGTATAGTTTCTCGTTTCCATCATTTCCACGCAAGGTGAGGGAAGTAGGGTACCATATTTAACCCATAGTTTGTGGGAGGGTACAAAAAATTGATTCATCATTTTCGCAATGGCATTTATGTGAAAGTGAATGTAAAAGATTGAAGCGGGAAGTGAACATGGCTCACCGAATATTTCCTTGCTGATAGCCGTTACTCTACCTGATAGGGAGAAGCCACAGATTCATGAATCTTTTTTTATTTTCTGTGGGGCGGTGGCATTTTGGGAAAAAAAAGGGAACACAACAGGTTAGGCCTGAATTTGAACTCGGCCCGCTGATTTCATTTCCACGCCGATAACCAATACACTACCAGGCTTATAGACTCGCATCTAAATAAAAGACCCATGATTCAGTGCAAACATTCTTTTAATACAGGCAATTATGGCTCTTCTCATATAACGTTTCTTTATTATCTATGAACCATCGTAACTTCTTTGTAAAGTAGAGTGGTTTCCTGTTGTCTTTTTCGGCTTTTTGAATTCAGTGTTTCCTTCTCGTTAGCTGGCTTCCAGCCAGGGTAGAGAACTCAGTCTAATCCATAGAATGTGAGTAGAAAAGATAGAATCATGCCTTTGCAAAGCGTATTTGCACCAGAGGGAACGCAGCAAACTGGACCGGGAACTGAACTCTGTTCGATGAGTATGTCTTTGTTAAGAGTCATTAAGCTTGCCGTATAGGCTTCTACTTTTCCTGAATTAATTATCTAACCACCCAAACAGTTAGAATAATTAAATATTGTTGTATCAATTGCTAGACTTGAGAGGAGACAGTCAGTAGGAAACTATGGCTGTGTTGTGTATTAATATTGCTTTATGTTTTCGTGTATTTTTTTTTTTTACCAAAGTGATGTTCGTGGCAATACTGCTGAAGTTTCCAATAGATAGAAGAAATCTAACCAGTCGTGATCTGATTGGTTGCTACTGCTGCTGGTTGAATAGCGAAAACTTCGACGTTGCTTTGTAGCAGGATTTGTTCGTTTGATGTTGATGATAGCAAGTTGTAGCCAAACAGTTCGAAACCTAAGCGTATCTGTGTGGGATGCTTGATCTTTTTCCACTACTGCTAAGGCTTATTGTTCAGTCTGCTAGTTGGATCGTGTTTGAAAAGCCAATATCTACGATTCTCTATTTCACTCATAGACGTGTGGAAGCGTTAAGGATGGACCGGTTTCACTTTCTGAGATGAATGTTACCCTCTTGAACGAAATACGGTTAACTGGGAAGAACACAGACTAGTAAATAGAGTACTTGTCTTTTTTTTATTTATCTGTTCATTCATTTTATTTTAGTTTTTTACTTACACGAGTGAGGTCAAATTTTAATTGCACCATAGGAGAAGTGTAAAGTCTAATCATGTAAAAGGAAATTGTATAATTTCTTTTCATTTAATTAATTTTACAGAGTCGTAGTTGACGTGTTTTTTTTGTTTTTTTAACGTATTCACATCACAGAGTACAAAGCAAGCACACGGACACAGGACTCACATACGCACGTACAAGTACTTTTTCAAGCCTTACGTACGTCAGCAGAGAGAGAAAAGAGGAACGACGGTTGTAAAAGTTTTCATTCCTTCTTCTTCCAAAACCACTTCTAGGCTATATATTCACTGTTCTCTCTCCGGAAAGATGTTGGCAGCTGCTGTAGTATATCTGTTCAAGCCGACACTAAACTGCATGTTACTGCTTCGGTTAAACAGTTGTAATTAGTATAATATTTTGAATTTGTATATGTTTGTGTGTGTGTGTATGTGTGTGTGTGCGTATTTATGTATATGTGTGTATGAGAGAGATAGAGAAAGAAAGTGACAGAAGAGAGAGAGAGAGAGAGAGAGAGAGAGAGAGAGAGAGTGATGTACAAACTCATACGCGTCACAGCTGTCGTCTTTTCCCCGAATGAGTGAAGAAAAAAACAACAACAACAAACAAAAAAAGAAACAAAACAAACAAAAAACAATAGACGCACATAGAGAAACTTATTTCGCCTTTCAGATTCTGAAGCTTGTTTGTTACCCGGATACTTACTTTACTTGGAGATGCATGCACTTGTTGCCTGGATATTCAAATTAAGTTCAGGTGGAAAATTATTTACCTTTCAACTTCAACTCAGGAAAGTCGAAAAGGAGAAACATGAATTAAATATTAAAAAAAAAAAAAATGAGAAAAGGAATGCAATGCAAGGTTAAATAATTAATGCTACAAGACTTGACCTTCTTTATCAATAATCTGAATGTCGCTTAAGTACTTCTTTTTTTTTTAATATGAAAAAAAGGCAATTGTTTTAAAAACTTAGAAATTCATATTACTCGTACGGATTCCATTGTTAAATATAGGTAAGGTTTAAAATATTTGGCAGTATATATTTTCAGCAAAATCTCTTGCTATTTATTTTCCTATAATTCACTAACAGGGCGATTTTAATACATTCTTTATTTGAAATATAATCTGCCTCACGTTATACATCTCTCTTTCTCTCTCTCTCTCTCTCTCTCTCTATATATATATATATATATATATATAAAATTTCTCTCTATATATATATAATTTGTAGGTCTGATGAATTTGATCGTGAATACGATTGCAATGTAATAAATTATAACCATGGAATATTAGTGTTTGAGCCTTTTATATTATATTCAAGCTCTGTACTGTACATTGAACTCTACCTCTTGGAAATATATATATATATATACTGACCACTAATATTATCAATATATATGTATATATATATTCATTTGTATATGTATATATATGCATATCGATAGATGAATAGGAAGAATCATATATATATATATATATATACATATACACACATATATATATGTGTGTGTGTGTGTATGTATAGGTAGTTACAGGAAAAGAAACAAAAGGATAGATAGATAGACAGACAGACAGATAGATAGGTAGATAGATAGATAGATAGATAGATACACGCGCGTATAGACATACTCATACACATATATAGATAGTTATAAGCATGAAAATATAGATACACATACACACACGCCTATATGTTTATGCACATATGATATACGCATATATAGAGAGAGAGACAGAGACTGACAGATCGATCGATAAATAGATATACACACACATATAGACAAATAGTTACAGATAGATACATAAAGACACACTCATACACATATACACATACATATATTTATTGATAGATAACTATACATGCACATACACACATATATCAACTAATATTTATAGGTGTGCGTATAAAATTACACACATAAATACATAGATACACGTATATATATATATATATATATATATATATATATATATATATATATATATATGATAGATAAATAAAGATGCATACGCATATATATAGATAGATATACATGCACATACACATAAATATAAACTAATATTTATAGGTGTGTGTATAAAAAAATCATACATATAAATACATCGACAAGCGCACATGAAATATATATGATAGATCGATGTATAAAGATACACACACATGTGTATATATATGTGTGTAGATAGATTTACTGGCTGATAGATAGATAGATAGATAGATAGATAGATAGATAGATAGATAGATAGATTGACTGGCTGATAGATAGATAGATAGATAGATAGATAGATAGATAGATAGATAGATAGATAGATAGAATGATGGACTGGTGAATAGATAGATAGATAGATAGATAGATAGATAGATAGATAGATAGATAGATAGATAGACTGGCTGATAGATAGATAGATAGATAGATAGATAGATAGATAGATAGATAGATAGATAGATATTATTATCATCTCTTTTTATATGTTATACTCTTGTGTTTTACTGTTATCGCTGTCACAGAAATATGCAAATCATAGCCAGTTTTATTGATTGGTTTCATACATTGCTGCATAAGGAATCTGTTCCGCCATCCAATGTGTTCAATTTTGGGGCGCTTTTCCAAGGACACGTGTTTATCACGCGTCAAAATACATACATCATCTTCTGCTTACATCCCAATACGACATAAAGTGTGCAGGAAGAAACGCAGTCAATATTGAACACCTTACAGTCTTCAGGTAAAAAAGAAGAAAAGCAGATATAATTCCGCTCTCTTAACTATGCGAAAACGTATGTTGTGTGTGCGTTACAATCGTCACCTTTTACTACCGACCCATCCAAAACTTCTTTTCAAAATCGACAATATGTAAAAATGATATTCGTAGGTGTATTTCATTCTTAAAGTCATGTATATATAGACATCAACTTGTAAGATTGGCTACTATTTTACAACTGTAACTTTTCTCTTCTGTCAGTGTTAGTCTTTGTTTTTTTGTTTTTTATTTTTTAGCCATGTGCAGGTGTGTATGTTTTTTTTAAAGGTGTGTGTAATTAAGCTGCTGTCTATGTAGCTTTTAGCAAAGACACGTGGACCAAAGCCACCAGCTTTAGAAATTTGATTTTGTTCAATCCGCGTACCTACAGTTCTTAGTATTGACCTCAATCTGATTTGGCTGTCTTTGGTTATGTCAGCGAACGTGTCTCAACTAGCTGCGCCAACGACGTCAAGGACTGTGGCAGCGATAGGGGAGTTGAGCATGCCCCCTTCTGCCGTGTCGGCAACAGCATCTGCTAGCGGCAAGGTGACTACAGATTCGGTTCTGAAAACACTTTGGACACTATGCGAATTTGGTTGTTATCCCAGCAACTTCACTTGGCTAGATCCTGACAATTATGACTACGACAGTAACGTGACATTTTCAAGGAATCAGACACGAATATTTAATAGTCACGACTTGACCAGTGAGTCGAAAATAGGTTTGATATTTCTATATTCAACCACCACTTTACTAGCCATCACAGGCAATGTGATGGTCATTCTGGTGTTTACCGTCGGGAAGTGGTCTCGGACTGATCTGCGTCCGTTTCTCATCAACCTCGCAATTGCGGACCTCGTTATGGCGATTTTTTGCATGCCTTTCACGTTCACTTATGTTGTTCTGGACACGTGGATCTTCTCAAAACCCATGTGTCCGATGGTTTTGTTCGTACAAATGGTAGCCGTCACGGCCAGCGTATCAACAAACATGGCGATTGGAATTGACCGCTTTTTGGTCGTCGCTTACCCGTTGAGGTCCCGGCTCACATCTTCTCGTTCAAAATATGTGATAGTCCCTATTTGGATAACTGCGATAGCATTGGCTTCTGTTAATCTATTCGTCGGTCGGGCGTACGACACAGTCTTACCAAATTTGACAATTACGAAATGTGAAGAAATGTGGCCGGGAGACACGCCTCGACGTGTCTACACGTTGTTCGTATTGACAATTACCTACTTACTTCCAATGTTGATCCTTGGAGTTACGTATAGTAAAATTGGAGTTATTCTTTGGAGAAGAACAGCACCAGGAAATGCAGACAGAGTAAGGGATTCGCAACAGTTACGTTCAAAAAGAAAGGTATGTTATTTTTTATTATTATACACATGTATTATTCATCTGCTTTTTGTATATGAATGTTCGCTACTTGTTTAAACCTTGAACCAGAGCGCAGTATCTCCTCAGTCCCCAGCGCTTTCGAGCGGAAATCGGTTACGAAAATCTATACTATTATTTTGCTTCTTTGTATTAGGTTGTTCGCAAAATAATGTCAAATTTTAGAATTAACTTTTATTTCTAAATTAATGTATTTAAACTTTGTTTAAATCAGTCAAAATAATAACCCTATACATTCTAATAATAATAATAAGCCTATAGATAATAATAACCCTATACATTCTAATAATAATAATAACCCTAGATATAATAATAACCCTATACATTCTAATAATAATAATTACCCTATATATAATAATAACCCTATACATTCTAATAATAATAATAAGCCTATAGATAATAATAACCCTATACATTCTAATAATAATAATAACCCTATATATAATAATAACCCTATACATTCTAATAATAATAATAACCCTATATATAATAATAACCCTATACATTCTAATAATAATAATAACCCTATATATAATAATAACCCTATACATTCTAATAATAATAATTATCCTATATATAATAATAACCCTATACATTCTAATAATAATGATAACCCTATATATAATAATAACCCTATACATTCTAATAATAATAATAACCCTATATATAATAATAACCCTATACATTCTAATAATAATAATAATTACCCTATATATAATAATAACCCTATACATTCTAATAATAATAATAACCCTATATATAATAATAACCCTATACATTCTAATGATAATAATAACCCTATATATAATAATAACCCTATACATTCTAATAATATAAATAATTACCCTATATATAATAATAACCCTATACATTCAAAATAATAACCCTATACATTTATGCCGGTGAGTTAAAAGGTTATTTATGTCTTTACCATAAAAGTCTAAAGGTATGGACGCCAAGAAATTAAGTTTCTTAATCTTCTTTGAAATTGAATTGTTAAGATGCTTGAATAAGTGTTAGTCAGTGGGCGAGAGATCAGCGTCTCGTGTCTCAAGTCGGTGAGATTCTACAGTGTCATCCTGAAAAAATATGACCGATCATTGTCTTGAAGCAGAATTGGGCCTAGTAGATTAACCAGTCCCGGTTATATTTTCATTAAGTGAATGTGCATTTCATGAAACTGCTTGCAGTAAATTTCGGTAGTGGTGCTCTGGATAGATTCCAGATATTCATCCTAATCTTCAGTTGGTGTAATTTCGGTTTTAGAAAGTGTCTAAGCCCTTTGTCAGGATGAAGCCACTGAGCGAATTGCGATTGTCATAAATGATCCATTTCACATCACAAATCACTATTCCATCAACAAATAGATCATTCGAATTTCACATCGGAAACACTTCCTAACATTAAACTCTTTGGCTTTCACTGAGTCCTTGTCTACTTTATACATATATATATATATATATATATATATATATATATATATATATATATATATATATATATATATAAAGATGACTGAATGTACAGTTGAAAGTACTTGCGTATTAAAGAAAGACTTTATACAGTTTATAATTTTTAAAAACAAGGATCATAACATTGATCGAGTGATTTGTAGGTTAATGCACCTTTAAAATTTTGTTTGCGAAAGGATTTCGCCATTTTATATCATTAACTTTACTAATCTTCTTTTTGTATGAATGATTCATTGTAATACATATACATATATGATACACACACACACATATATATATATATATGAAACACACACACGCGCACACACACACACACACACACACACACACACACACTCACACACACACACACACACACACACACACACACACACACACACACACACACATATATATATATATATATATATATATATATATATATATATATATATATATATATATATATGCCAAACATGGTTACGCGTGTCCGGAGTATGACGTAGTGTCAAAAGAACAGTTTTTTCCAAGACACCGCTTTCTAAATTACCTTCACGATGAGCAGAATTGGAATAAAAACTAAAATACTATAAAAATGAATTTATACATGTGTTTTGTTCTTGAAAATTACACAACAAAAAATAAACACTTTTATTTATTAGATTGTTTATATACAAGAATAATTTTAGATTTACAACATTCTAAAAGACTAATAAAATTCGAACTAATGCAATGTAATATTCACCAATTTATAAAGGAAATAAAAGTGAAAACAATTTTTTATTCATAAATTCTTAAACATTTACGAAATTATTAAAATATATTAACCAATTCTAATCACTGCTTTTTAAAACAATAAACATTACCGTGGTTAGAAAGTAGTTAAAATAATAGCAGTGTCAATGGAAAAAAACATTCTTTTGACACTGTATTTTTGAAGGCACGAAGGTCCAAGTTTGCTCTTAATCCTTATTAGCAACAAGTCATAACGCTTCATGCTACAAACTGATGGCCAACAGCAACCTCATCCAATAAAATCCTGTAGCATCATTTTGTTACAAAAGCAGTTTTTTTCCCATGATACTCTGCTTCTTAAACTGCCTTCACTCTAAGGTTATATTAATTAAAAAACAAAAAAAAAAACAACAAAAACAAAAACGATGATTAGAATTGAAATAAAAACTAAACACACGATAAAAGTGAATTTATGCATTTCTTTTTGTTCTTGTGCATTGAAAACAAAAATAATAGACATTATTTATTTATTAGGTTATTTATTTACAAGAATAATTTTATATTTACAACATTCTAAAAACTAATGTATAAGAACTAATAGGATGCAATATTCATCATTTACCAATTTATAAAGAAATAAATATGAAATCAATTTTTTATTCATAAACTTATAAAGATTTAATAAATTATTAAAAATACTTAACGGATGCATTGTCAACTATTCCCTAAAATAATATAATAAATAAATCGTATAAATAAACAATGTAATAAATAAATAGTCTATTATTTTTGTTGCTAATCATCAAGAAAAAAAAGGAAAATGTATAAATTCGCTTTCGTACGTTTCGGTTTTATTATAATTCTAATCAGAGATTTTTAAAACAATAAACAATGCCGATGAGTGAAAGTAGTTAAAATAATAGCGGTGTCATGGGAAAAACCGTTCTTTTGACACTACCTTGTTTGGCATGTTTTCATGTTTGCCATATACATACATATATATATATATATATATATATATATATATATATATATATATATATATATATATACGCACAAATCAGAGAAAGAACAGATGGATTAAAATTCCAATGTTCGTAGCATTTACATTTAAAAAAGTGCTCAATACAA